ATGTGGGAAAAATCAAAACAATAAGACATCGGGCATGTTTTTGGATGGGTTCATATTCTATCTACTCCAGGACTCCAGGACGGCAAGTTTGGATGGCTGGGAACTCCAGTATCTCCAATGGTCTATTGCACTCGCTCAATTGTTCGGGGGTACTTTCGAGAAGCATTGATGCCCCAATTAAAAGGCACAACCATCTCCTGCATGTTTTTTTTCCAGCCTCCCTAAGTTCAAGGCGGCCTCTGTAGCCACGTCCAACCCCATCCAACAGCTCAAACTACGCACCTGTCCAACATATCTGGCCAGCCCGAGCTTGTACTCCCAGGGTGTGGCCGGATGGATGGACGGCTTGTACCCGGGATGGCCGGCGCTCCGCACAGTTTGAGCACAGCTTCCTGGTCACCGAGGACCAGCGCCCGTCGTGTGTTTGTTGAGCAAGGCCTTACTTGAGCAGCGGCCCTGGGGCCCCTACAAGACAGGCTCACCCGGTCTTCCCATGTTATGGGTCAACGTTGTTTGAAGTGCATTTTGAACTCCTTTGAAATGCGCATGGGTACTGTTGACATACCCAGACACTCCATGGGACTGCCATAGGACTGCCGATCAGTTGGGGTGGTTGAAAAGGGGTCAATGTAGACATATAATACCATACATGGAGTGACTGGGATATATGGTGCCCCGCCCCCGGGGATAAAGACTAGTCTCAACCTTTGATGGTTCCGTAGTGTTTGGCTCTAGGTTTTCATGCCCTGCCTCGGTTGCCATAGCAGGCTGAGGCTGTCGGTGGGTACCTCGGGCCGGTGTAACGCCTGTTACTTGGTCGATCGCATTCACCGAGTGGCCGAAACTCGGTATCCACCGGCAAAGGCTGAGGAACTGACCCATTTCCTGGCCAAGGTGCTCCACACCCTTGAGGCGGACACCGAAACTTTCGAGGCCGACCGCACGTCAGGCCTGGTGGACATTGAGGGCTATTTGGTGGAGGTGCGCAAGGTGGACAAGACAGCACTGTCACCAAAGTTGAGCGCGGGGGTTCACCCTGGAAAGCAGGACCCAAAAGCATCCTCAGCGGCACCGAGCAAAGGGGCAAAGCAAGTTGAGAGTGGCGGGGCATCAGAGAACCCTGGCAAGCAGAGGAGGCGCAGGCGTGAGGACAAGACAAGGTCTCGCAGCCGAAGCCGACGAAGGGAGAAGAAGAAGGTAAAGAAGGAACCTACTCCGGAGCCGGAGGAGCCGGTTGCAGCGGAAGCTGAAATTGAGGAGGAGGAAGCCGAGGCTGAAGTGGAAGCAGAAGCTGAAGTGAAGGACGAGGAGGTTGAGGACACCCCTCACGACGACGAAGTTAGCCCGGACACCGAGGTCGCCAGAGATCCAAAGGCTGCAGGACTTCGACAGGTCCCGCCAAAACCCTCAGCGAGGAAGCCATTGCCGAGGAGACCCCGTACTCCGTCAAGGTCACCGCCCGGTTACCGTGGAGGAGGATCTCAACCGGCGAAGAAGTGGAAAGGGATCAAGCATATCATTCGGGGGCAGGCCCTGGGTTATAGCGACTACGGACGACGTCCAAAGGGGAAAGGAAAAGGGAAATGGCGCCGAAAGTGAGGAGGCCAGCAGCGGCCGCAAGGCCCGACCGAAGGAGGAGAGGTGTTCTTCGACCTGCAGCCCATCACGAAGATGTCGGAGCAGCGGGGGAGGGAGCCCTGGCATGGGATCCGAGTGTCGGCGATTTGGTGATTGCCGAGGGGGCCCATTACTACGGAGCAGCCTGCCGGTTCACGGGACGCATCCTCGAAGACTCGAGGGACGCGGCAGGACGGCACCTGGCTATTCGACTTCATGGCACAGATCACGAACCCCTGTTGACGTGGGCCACCGGGGCATCAGTCCCTGCTCGCGTGCACCTTTGCCCCGAAGGGTGTTCGAGGGAGTCGGAAGGGCCAGGTCTCCTACACTGCAACGATCTCCGCAGCATCAAGTCCTTAGAGGAGCTAGTCGGAGTCCCTTGGCGCGACGTTCTGCTAGAAGGGAGGCCCAAAGCAGAGGACGAGCTAGCAGGCTTGAGGTCAAGGATGGATGGCATCGGGGGACCAAGCCCTGGAGCAGTTGCAGCCGTCGCCGAGATCGAGGAGAAGGAGAAGAAGGAGAAGGCCGAGAAGGAGAAAAAGAAATCAAAGAAAAAGAAAAAGAAAAAGCGCAAGCGGGGGCGGTCATCAAGGTCCCGAAGCGAAGGTTCGAAGAAGGAGAAAGAAAGGAAGAGAAAGGCAGACGCGGGGAAAAGCCCTGTGAGCTCATCCAGCACGACAAGCAGCTCGTCCACGGTCGAGTTCAAGGCAGTGTCACAAGAGGAGCTCTTCCGAGGGTCAGGATTGGACCCCAACATCAAGACACGAAGAAAGCAACGCCGTCAAGCACAGCGTTTGGCCCGGCGGTCTCACCACCAGAAGGACGAGAGCAAGTCGGCATCGTCGGACGACGGAAGGGAGCTGGGGTTGAAGGGAGATCAGGTTTTCGGCGAACCTCAGAGAATCCGAGCGATCGCTCTTCAATACCCCGGCGTCCTCAGTGCCCAAGCAATCGACCAGATGCAGGACCTTTTGGTGCAGGAGCTCGGCCAAGATCGACATCGAGAAGGTCAGTGGAGCGCGACATATCTCAGATACTTCAGACAAACGCTCTTCCGCAAGATGTCGGGGCCGATGTGCAGAGAAGCCCAAACGCTTGCGACAATAGGAGATCAATTATTGAAGGGCTTGCCGAGAGGATCCAAAGGTGTCCTTTGGACATCGTTATCTATACAAACAGCGTTATGCTTCCGTATGTTGTTGATGCTTCCGTAGGAGCATTTTTGTTTGTACCTGCTCATGCAACATGGTAGCCAGCCATGACCTATAGCTCAGCTACCATGGCCTCACCTGAGCTTCCCAAAAAAAGTTGCCAAGCAAGAAGTACATGTGACGCTTTGCCTGCCCACCCGCCCAGTCACCGTGTTGGTACCGCTGATTGCACAGCGCCTCATCCCAAATGAAAAAAAGATGCCGTGGATGGTTCGATGCTTTGGTAGATTGTGGCAGCCCGCCCGCCCAGTCACCATGTTGGCATGGCTGATTGCACAGCGCCCCATCCCAAATGAAAAAGTGATGCCGCGGGTGGTTTCGATGCTTTGGCAGCCCACCCGCCCAGTCACCATGTTGGCATTGCAGGTTGCACTGCGCCTCATCCCAAAAGAAAAGAAAAATTGGTTGTCCCACGCAAAAACATGTGAACACAGACACACACACACACACACACGTGCCCACCTACATGTGGAACACACGCCGTAACAACCTGGAATGTTTGTGTTTAAAGCAGTGAATTGAATATGTGTATTCTTTGGGCCCTCCCGGCCCTTCAGGCAAGACAGTGTGGGCACTTCGCAAACAAATTGTGTTTGCGATTTTTTCGACAGACCCTCACTTCCGGTGTCAAGCTGTGAGAGTGTTTTGCACATGGATGGCAGTGCTGAGCTAGCCCGTCCGCCGCTCACCGGCATATTTTCCACATCTGCAAGGACGCGGCGATTAGATAACAGTGAACTCAGATTGTGAAACAGGAACCAGTGGCTTTCTAGCCTTTACACTTTACACGTTTACATCGGGCGAAGCGAGTACCCCAGAACATACCCCAGATACAGTGAACTCAGATTGAACCAGTGGTTTTCTAGTCTTTACACTTTACACGTTTACATCGGGCGAAGCAAGTATACCCCAGAACATACCCCAGATTTAAAATGCAACCAGTCAAATTGTATCGCTGCGCGTTCTGTCAGGGTTTTACTTTCAGGGGGACTCTGAAAGTCATGGGGATGGCCTGATGGTGGTCGGCCTGCCGTTGGGAAGCCAAGAGTTCCGAGCGTTCTGAGTGAGACTGATCACAGCAGCTTTCAAGTTCCAAGTGATGGGACGTAGACTGCATTGGTGGCCCCTCCTTCACAGTTTTCAGCGGTCAAGTGAGGGACCTCTTGTCTTCATGAGTTTCGCATGCAGCAACCCAAGCCAAAAGGTCTTTTGAACACCCATGTAACAAACAAATCATGCCTGGAAACTGTGATCAAGTCTGTATGCAACATCTAAATGGGCAGGTTGCCCTTGGGGTGCCACTCGAATTTTCTTTATCAGTTCATTGGTCTGCTGGACACATCCCTACAACCATCAAGTGGCGCCCCATCCGCGAGGTGTGGACCTCAGCGAAGCCGAAGCCTGCAAGACCTGTGAAGAGGCAGCTTGAGGGATTGGGTGGGCTCGAAGGGATTTGGATCGATTTGGTGTGGACTCGATCGAGGCAGGTGTTTCGAAGGGTCAGGAACGTTTGGATTGAAGTAATCGCAGTTTGAAAGCTCCACTATACTTTCATCCAAAACATGTTTGATCGAAAGGCGTTTCAAAGGTCAGGATCTATAGATCTGTATTTGACACCTTCGGCCCGTGTATCATGGCTGGCGCGGCCGGTGTGATGGTGGAGTTTGATGATCAGATGGGAAGAAGGCAAAGCACATGGAAGTCTGTTCGTCGCTTTGCTGGCAAGGGGGGAGCCAATTTGTTCTTGTGGGCGAAACTTCCTGTCTAAACAGCATAAAGATCAAATTGTCCTGCCATCACCTGCCAAAAGAAATCAACCCACTATCTGACAATCCCAGGTCCAGGCAAAGTGCCATGGAATGAGGCGTTTGTGGCCGCCTGCAATGATTTGAACATATATTTGTATTTTGTGGGTTGTCGCTGAATCCCTTCCCTCCAAATCTCCAAATACCGTCCACCCACCACGTCGCTGGTCTTGCCTCCATCAAGGCTGAAGTCGCCCGGTCCATGTTGAGGGCAATGCCTAACAGGGCCAAAGAAATCATTCGTGGTGGCGACTTTACTGGTGCAGACCTGGTCCAGGTTGCTTCGGATTTGCACCGCCCCTCCTTCAAGGATTGGGATTTCGTTCTCCAATGTGTGGGGTCTCTAGGATAAGCCCTGTGTTTGATGTTGAAACATGTTAAAAGTTTAGAACTGGGCAAGTCGGTGGTCTGTGAGTTATCAACGCAGGAGATTGCGCAGAACTTTGTATTCCTGCGCCCCCTGGTCCAGCATTTTCCTGACCATGTGCCTGGAGGGGTGCTCTTGACTGACATCTGGTTGTATCTGGACAGCCTCTTCGACCAGAAGTTGCTCTGCAAGCCAGATGTACCCAAACAAACACAGGCTGCCAACGAAGCCTCCAGATGCAAGCGTTTGATCGGCGCCTTGCGCTATCTCTACAGGAATAGTGCCTGGTTGAGATAGCTCTTGTTTTTTCATTTCAACCCCTTGAGAAGCTGTTTTGGTGATAGTTCGTCCAACTTGGAAGTGCGTATGAATATGTTTCTCACTCACACAGTTGTGTGATTCCCTGAGGCGCTCAAAGTCACAATCAGAAGGTGTCCGAGCTGAAAGGCATGTTGATGCCATCTCCGGCATCTGCTGTTCCTTTCCTGTATGTTCTGTCAGTGCAGGTTTTTGTTTTTGGGAACGGTTAACAGTTAACATAGGTTACAAGGGGGAAGTATACGTGTACTTTATCGTCAGCGCATGATTTGCCCAGGCTCGGCGGGATGCACGTTTAGACCTTCGCAGGGCCAACGCCAATGAGAACCTTGGGGAGGCCGCGTTGGGGAAACCTTCAAAACTACAGTTCACTCAATGTTTTGGTTGAGCTAATTAATGGCTTCAATTTGAACCCACGGATGTATTGAAAGGGTGTCCAGTTTATATATTTTTTCAAGCTGACCAGATTGTCCATTGTGAAAGGGCGTGCGACTTGTCTTTATCCTGCAGGTGTTGGCTGATGCTCCCATGGACCTTGATGCGGACGCGGACAGTGAGGGCAGCGATGAGGTTGAGGAGGATGAGCCTATGCCCCTTGATGGTCAACGTTCTGAGGGGGGCGAAGCCGTGGACGACGCCACAACTCTTGTGCTTGGCGCAGGTGAGGATGTCGCTCCTTTGTCTGATGTGGACAGTGATTCCGACGAGGCGTCCTCGGATGAAGCTGCGAGTGACCCTGATTCACCACCGAATGAACCTAGTGGGAGCAATGGTGACAAGGGGCCCGGTGATGTGGTTGCGCCAGGCTGCTTCGAAACACCACCGGTGAGGCGTCAGCTGAACATGGATGCCGCGTTGAGCGAGGAAAAGAAGGCTGAGCCAGACCAGCCTGTGCATGAGATTGATTCAGACACCACTTCTTCTTCCGCTACAGTTGCCTGCCGTCGCACAGTATCTTTTGCAATTGTTTGGGTTGGGTTCATGGCTAACTGGGGCGTTGTTGTTTATGAGAAGTGGGAAACCGAGGGTGCTTGTCGTGGTGGTGCTGATGCTACTGCTGATTTATTGGGCTCTTTGAGTCTTCGGGGACATGAGAACCCTAACCATGAAGCTTGCAACTTCTCGAATCTAGAGACCATGAAGCTCCCATTGCTTGGAAAGCCTCAATGGATCAAAGACAGCGAGCATGGCATGTTGATAAGGTCTCCCCCTACAGTTGGGGAACAAGTACCTAGCCTGAAGTTGTTTGTGTTAAGAATGTCCCTTGTGGGTGAAGTGCTAGTGAAACAAAATATCGCTTGTGAGGTCGATGGTGCTGACGATGATGACCAGCGGCCGAGGGCGAAGAGGCCCAAGGCCAAAGCGAAGGCGAAGAGGGCTTCCTTTAAGCGCCGCAATGCCCGCGCTGAGCCTTCGCGACTTCATTCATCTCCAGCGGTCCAGAAGGTGCAGCGTGTTTGTCGTACGTGTCACATTCAGGGTTACACTATAGTTCATGAGTGTATGGCAGTACAAAGGTTGAAAGGACACAAAAACGAAAGGTGTTATAAGGGTCTTTATAACACCTTTCAAATTTATGTCATTTGAACCTCTTTGGCCACAGTGACGCGAGGTTCCTGAGTACAACGGCTATAACTTGGAGCATCTACCTCGGCAAGCGTGGCCTGCTGTGGATCGCAAGCACCAAGGTTTGCACAGCTACACCGTTTTGCGGGGAGCTGCCAAGATCGAGATCCTGCTTCGAAACAAGGCCTACTACGTTCGGGGGCCAAATAAGGGCCAGATCTCATGGGCCAAACATGGTGGCCCACATGATGCTTGGATTGTTGCCTGCACCAAGGCAGGAGTGATTCCTTAGCTGTAGATCTTTGGATCCGTCGAACGTTTTTGATGTAAGCCATGGCTCATGACAAACTGTTGTTAGCAACAAGGTTGGATCGTTGGCGTGTTCCAGATTCCAGGGCCATTGGCTTCTCTAGCTTTTGTGATGGGTGCATTGAAAGCAATGCAACACTGGGGTCGTAGCAGATGCAAAGCATCATAATCTTTGAAGACACACATCTATAGATATAGGAACGGCAGCTAGCGGTTGCGTTCAAGAGTGAAAAATCAAAGGCTACTTTTCAATCCAGAAACTCCCAAAGAAGTAGCCAACAGTTTTGCAGCTTCGACGCATACATGTCCCTATGTATCTAGATATGAAGCTACAATTGGAGTAGAGATCATTTTCTGTGGTTTGGGCCGCTTATGTTTCAGGTTTTGCTCAAGGCGTGCAATCTCTCCTGAAGGGTTCATTTTCTTCCAACATGGGGAAACGCGCCGTTCCTTCTGTGGAGAAAGTTCATTTGCAAGCGGTGAAGCAAACTCCCAAGTTCGACCCGTCGCCTTGTGGCAAGAAGTCATACCGGGAGATCAAGAGGAAGAGCATCATCGCTGGCCTTAGAATGATGAGAGCGCCCGCTGTCGCTAAGCTCAACTAAAGAAAATAATTCTCTTCACAGGGCCCCAAAGTGGAGGTTCTATGTTTCTGCCTTTTGTATCTGCCCAAAATAGTTTTCAAGTTGTGAAAAGGGCACCCGCCACCCAACTTCCCTACAAACCAATGTGAGAACACAGCTGCCCAGGTGGTCGCTGTGCTTGTCAATATGGTTTTTGGGCTCCAGTATTTGGACTTCAACCGCGAGAACGAGCTCCAGCATGTGGAACTCTTTGCTGGGGACTGCTCTGTCACCCGTGGGGAAGCCATGGACAGGGGTTCAAAACTTAAAAATGCAAAACAAATATGTGTGACTTGTGTGTAGTCTGAACCCTTGAATCGTGATGCTCATTCGTATGGAAGTTCATGTCCCTAGCTATCAGTGCTGTTCAATTGCAACAAACTGTCTTGGGAAAGTAGCCAGCCTGGAGGAGGGCAGGCGTTGCATTGGGCTTGACATCAAGATAGGTGGTGAGACCATGGATTTGACCACCAGCACTGGCTTCATTGCAGCGCTGTACCAAACATGCAGGTTGACTCCCGGATCTGGATGGCTCGCGGCGCCCGTTTGCAGTTCCTTCGTCTTCATGTCCCTGGTCATCTATTCATACCTTTTTAGCCTCTTTGAGTAAGTTCTTCAAAAACTCATGAACCGTGGCCTACTGGGTCAGATATGGAGGGACATGGTCCACACATAGAATTTCAAACACGGGAGAGCATCGCACACGTCAGGTCGAGGGGAACAACCAAGCGGAGCGCCACACGACCTTTGGGCGAGGAATCCTATGAGAGTGTCCGAGTTGGAAACATATTGACGGCGAGGACATTGGTGATCTTGATGGTTGCCCAGGCATTGCGGTGTTTTTGGGTGCTCGAACAGCCCAAGGGCTCGGTGATGGAGCTACACCCATGTTTCCAGGAGGTTCTGGGACGCATGACTGTGTGGAAGCACTGCCTCCAGATGCAGCAGTTTGGGGCTCCCACCGCAAAGCCAACATGGCTTTACGCCAGCCCCTTGGCCGCGGTAGGCTTGAGCGGGGCAATGTGGGTGCAAGCTGGGGTGTCATTGGATGGATCATTCTAGCCACAGTACCAAAAATAAGGTAAAAAGGAGACTTGGTTGCCAACATGGAAATCATGTGAGGTGATGCTGCCATCGACCAATTGGAGGACTTTAGACCTCGACATCTTCCACCTCCACCTCCTGTCGAAATGGCAGTGATCTACACTGACTCATCGGGAAAGCAGCGGGTGAAGGGTGGAAAACACCTCAAAGCTTCACAAAGCTACCCGCTACCGTTTCTCGTCCGAATTGTTTTGCAACAATGCCCAATCTGTGTGCCTTGGGGTTCCCCACCAAGTTAGAGTAGGAACCAATCGATGTTGATGTTCACTGCGCGCTGCAACTCCTCATGGCAGCGAGGTTTGGAAAGGCCCTCGCTCGCCTACGTTCTCGTCACCATGAGCGTTTGCGCTCTGCAGCTAGGGCTGCGTTGAAGCACAACATGAAGAACTACCGGACAGTTCGCAGGAACACGAGGGCTGATGCCCGCTGGGTAAAGCATGCCGACCTAGCTACAGTCTTTGACTTTTTGGCGTGAAGAAACCATCCGCCACAAACACTCTAATTTGCTTTTGGCCCGTGGGTTGAAGAGGTTCCCACGACCAAGTCGCAGCATTTAGTAACAGGTATTCGCCTGAGCGAGAAAAACCATAGCTTGCAACACTCCCAGCTGGCAGTTGCCCTCTTTCCACTTTGGGCCCCACCCCAAACCAATTACAAGGGTCATAAATACACATAAATACATGATGCAAAGGGAGCTGTTGCACTTCCCTGCAGTGCAGAGTTTGCGGGTTCTCAAAGGGGAAACCACTGGTCGTATCCATGATTTCCTCAGCAGTTACCTCACCCTGTCCACCGCAGGGTCTTGTGGTCACGTGTGCACGGAACCGTCTGCCAGGCCATGGGAAGATTTGTTCTCAAAGTGGCATTGAAAGGCGGGCCCGCCCATGTTTTAAAACAAACTTGTGGCAACATGCAAGGTCGAACAGAGTTGAACAGAGTTGTCACTTTTTTGGCACAAACTCAGCCACGTGGTGTTGAGAACTCAGCCACGTGGTGTGTAGAAAAGCCGCGTGGTGTAGATTCAGCGCTCTCCCATTTTTGTGGTACCAGCAAACATTCGTGGAGCTCCCTTATTGTTCAATTTTTTGTGGGGTTCATGTGAAGAGTATCTAGTTCAGCCGCGAAATCGACCATTCAGCCACGTGGTGCATTCAGCCACGAACCGCATGGCGCATCTGTCCTCTTCTTTGGCATTTGCTGCATTTCCAGCCTCAGTCAGTTGCTCGGTTCATTGATTTGCCGTCGCGGTCGCATTCACCTGTCTAATGGCTGCTTCGAAGTCGAAGACCTCTAGTTCCAAAGCGGAACACAAGAAGGTACAAAAGACCATCGCTAAATCCAAACTGAAGCAGAAAGAAACGAAAGAAACGAAGAAAGCGAAAGAAAAGAAGGAAAAGAAGGTGAAGCGGGTGACGCCAGAGAAGAAACAGAAAGAAGAGCAAAAGTGTGCGAAGAAGGCGGCGGCAAAGGAAGAGAAGGAAGAGAAGGAAGAGAAGAAACAAAAGGTGGCAGAGAAGGTTGAGAAGGTGAAGAAACATGAAAAGAAGGAGAGTGGGAAGCAAGCGGCAAAGACGCCAGAATCAGTGGGAGTTGATGCTGTGAAGAAGGAGGATTCAGTGCCAAGCAAGAGGGTTGCAGAGAAGAGCTTGGAGTGTGACGCAAACAAGCGCCCTGCTCGCAGGGTATCCTTCAAGAGTCCAGAGTATGTAGTGAAAACACCGCCAACGAGAACCGTTGCTTCGCCTTCACCTGTGCCTTCTGCTGCGCGCAGTGTGGAGGCTTGGATGGAGGAAGCTGCTGCGCAAGGCATGAGCCTGGAAGACTTCATGAGTGATGTCAGCACCAAGTACTTGGAAGCGCAAGTTGAGAGTCGCATGAAAGACCTTGTCAAGACCAGCAAGGGTAAGGGCGTGGAGGATGATGACGAGGAGGGTGCAAATGAAGATGCGTCTTCAGAGTCCAGCAGTGAGGAGACAAAGTCTAACAGCTCTGAGGATGGTGAAGGCGGGATTACTGAGACAGAGATTGAAGATAGTCTGAGTGAGGGCGGTCCAGAAGATGATGAAGACGATGGCGAGAATGAAGATGGTGATGGAGACGCCATCGATGAAGATATTGATGCACTTCTGGATGGAAGCCCTGCGAGTGAGGCAGAAGAAGAAGAAGAGGACAAGAATGACAAGGGCGAGAGGAAGAAGACAGGTAAGGGAAAGGGGGAAGACGCAACAGAAAAGAAGAAGGCAGAGAAGATGTCAAAGAAGGAAAAGGGGAAGAAGGACCCTGAGAATGACAAGGCCGCTGTCATCAAGGAAGCTGTAGAGGACCAAGAACGAAAGTTCAAAGATGCCACCAGTGTGACGCACAAGGCTGAGTATGACAAGTTTTGCCGACAGTGCCTCGACAGGAAAAAATTTCCTGTGTCACTGGCTCCCCACTTTGTCAAGAACAAGTTGGACCTTTTCAGGGGTTGGCTGGAAGTGTCTCAAAGTTGGTCAAGACTTGAGGTCGAGTTTGACCGTCGGGCGGAAAGAAAATTGACTTCAAAGAAGTCAAGGGCTGGCATCAAAGCAAGGGATATCCTGAAAATGTATCCCAAAGAAAAGGCTGAAGATTTGATGAAGCGTCTCAAGTCCAAGGGCCTTTTCCACTTCGACGATGACTTCCCCAACGATGAAGAAGAGATCTTCTACTATGTTGGCCAAGGCAACGAATTCAAGGATGAGAGCATCACCACAGACGGGGTTGCTGTGAAGATCAAGGAGACCGGCAACAAGGAACTTGCGGACACCCTGACAGGGGATGATGGTTTGCTCAGGAATGGCGCTGTTCCTGCAGTTCAAGCGCACAATGAGGCTGGGGAGAAAGCTCTCATCGATGCAGTTGCGGGGTCAACGGAGAAGGCCCCAAAAGAACCCAAGCCTAAAAGGGACCCAGCAACCAAGGCAGAGCCAAAGACCGTCTTGGACAAGGCCAGGGATGAAATGGAGAATTGTCTCCGCAAGTCAGCTGAAGGTCGCAAGTATGCTATCAGCTTGCAGGCGACTGAATACAGCGGTGACTTGGCCACCAAAATGATGGCATTCAGTGAAAAGATGGAAAAGTGCTACAAGGCTTTGGTGGAGCTGGTGCAAAGAAAGGAAGACAAAGAAGCAAAGTACTCGAATCTCTTCTCCGTGATTGCCGACAAGATTTCTTGGTATGAGACTGCTGAGGCCTGGAAGCCAAAACGTAGTTGAAACAAACGAGTTCCAGAAACATCTCACGGTTTGGAGCCCTGCTTCAATTGACATTCATCGACTTTCCAACTCTCTGACAGCCCTCAATGTTCGTGTTCCAAACATCTCAATGTATATAGCTTACATGGCATTAGAGAATATATTATGGTGAACGTTTTATACTTACATGGCATTAGAGAGAAACTATTATGGGGAACGTTGAGAAGATAATCGTGGAACTCACCAGCTGACTTGAAAACTCTCTTCTCTTTCGCTTGCTCTTTCAGGGCGCGGCCAAAGGATTGCTCTCCAGCTTCAAGCCAAAGAAGGGTAAGAAGAAGGCAAAGAACGGTGAGCCTGAGGAAACTGAGCGCACCAAGATTTCCAAGGAAGCCAAGCCGTGAAAACATGGCATGCTTCTCACCAGATCTGCCAGATTAGCTACCACAAAAACACAGGATATCGAACCACCTACTGTACACCCAGATCTATTGTTGGACGCTTTTTTGTAATGAGAACTAGATAAAGTCTATTTTCTTTTGGCAGGATGGTGATTTTGAACGTGATAGAGTTTCATCTTCTTGGGAGTGATAGCCTATCGTCTCGGGGCTTGCAATCACATAGCGCCTGCCACATCAACAGTGGCACACGGTGAACTTCTGCAGATTGCAGTGGGGTTGAGGCTAGGACCACTGCCAAGGTGTTTGAAAAAGGATTGCATTTTGCTGGATCAACCGGTTCCCAAGCTGTGCCATTGGCTTTGCACCCTATTCATTAAGTGCACATGTTTGAGCACCCAGCGCTTGCCAATCAGTTTTGGGTGTCCCTTTCTGAAACTGCGGCAATTCTCCCGGCCAGGCTCCAATGCAAAGAAAAATGCTGGCCGGGCGAGGCTGGCAGGGAGCGACCGTTGGGGACAAGGTTTTGATCGTCACGTACTTTTTTCTCGAATCGTTGACTCTCGACCATCGTCAACTCGTTGAGAAGGCAGTGCCGATTTGAAGACATGGCCCCCAGCAAAAGTGCTGACATCTACCTTCGCAGCTAGGCCAACAACAGTGTCTCTCTAACATATCACGCAGTCATGAACTAGGGGGTTGCAACAACTTTTTCAGTTCATAAAGCCGAGGCATGATTGGATCGGGGCGTTCCTCTATCGCTGAGATCTGTGACATTAGTCGTGCGAACGCTGCCGACGGACACGCGACCGAAGCTGTGGAAGCTTTGCAATCTTTGGGTGGAGGTGGGAAGTTTGCAAGTAACCAAGAACGAGACCTACATCGGTGGACCAGAAATCTGTATGGAACACGGCTGGAAACATATAGCGTGCCCTTTCTTCTCAATGTTTCTGGGAGAAAAATTATGTGAGCACATGTTCAGGGAATGTCTTTTTATCTCGAAATGCTACAACCGTTCACCCCCTCTATGGCCACTCTGCTCCCACATCTTTGCATGAGGTTCCGGACATTGACAATGGCGCCAAGACCATCGAAGTCCCATGCCTGTTGCCGCATGAAATCTTTGACGCCGTTTGGCGAGCTGGTTCGCGACAGGACAGGTTTTGTTCAAAGCTGCATTCTGAAAGTCTCACTTACAATGATTCACGGTGTAGACATGTAACCCCTGCAGTTTCAACAATCGATGACTGGTCACCGAAGTGAGGGCAGCATTCAAGAGTTTTGGGACCATTGCAGCAAATTCGAAGAGTGGTGCGATCACCCTTGCCTTTTCCGAGAAGGTGTCTCTAGGTCTAGCACCAAAGTTGCAGTTCATTCACCCCAAGCCAAAGGAGATCAGCGGGTTATATGAATAGATGTTGATATTGATATCTACATATAGGGTCTGTCCCATTGCCATCAACACTGGATGAGGGTTAGCAAAGGCCTTTCTCTAAAATAAAGGTATTTCAGGTAATAGGACAGACCCAATTTATAGAATAGATATTTATATGTGCGTTCATATTTTGATAGGGCGTAGCGTCACTTGCTAGCCTAGGATTGATTCCGCTGGCGCTTCATACAGATGGAGCAGAGTTTTACAGCAACTCCGAATACTTGGTTTTTTCTATGGGCTCGATCTTTGCTGAGGGTCATGTATGGGATTGCAAGTTTCCTTGCATCATCATTCCCCATTCCCACATGACCGAGCACAATGTGAAGCAGCTGGTCCATGAAACTGCTTCAATCGTTCTTGCCTGGTCTTTGCGGGCAGCCTCGACAGGCATGTTCCCATCCCATGGACCTTTCGGCGAGGAGATGGTCGGCTTCAGGCAAGAGCTGGCTAATACGCCCTTGGGTGGGGGATGGAAAGCGTGCTACTTTGGATTCCGGTACGATGCCAAAGCAAGAAAGGAGACAAACTATTTCCCTCGGTCCTACCAACACAATTTGATTTGTGAGTCTTGCTTGGCATCGAAAACACGAAGGTCTTGTTTGCCAGCGTTGTCTTTCAAGAACTTCTACCCCACAGCTGGGTACCGCATGACAACCATAAGTTTTGTCCTTAGTTGATCGAATCGTATCGAATCACCGTACACACCTGAATCTATGGTTGGAAACATTTTTTCAAATCAGTTTCGACCCATTCAAACCAACTTAAGGTGACAGAGACTACAGGCGACTTGAGACAAACCTGTCCCCGTGGACCAGGGTGGAAGGATGGCACTTGAAGACATGTTTTCATGATCCAATGCACGTTTTGTACCTTGGTACTTGCAAAGACTTGTATGCCAGCGCTTTGGGCTATTGGCTCCGCAACAACCTTTATGGGGGGCCCGGCACGTTGACTGACAAACTTCGAAGGGTCTCATTTGAGTTGAAGAAGGAGTGCAAAGACAATGCAAACCTCGCAGTCGATGTTCATGTTTTTGTGCTCATGGTTTGTGCAAATATTATATATATATATATATCGATTATAGAGTAGAGATCAAAGCCAAACCGGCCCAAACTACCAGCCCAGGATCAAGCTCTCTTTCAAAACCTTTACTCCGGCCAACACACACCTCGACAAGGCAAACCAATACCCGGAGCTTGGATCTATGTTCAAAGCTGCCTTTGTGAAGGCTTGCTCTTGGTTTTTCACGCGCAAAGCCATCGAACTGTCTCAGAAGAACCCCACCGAATCTTTACCATGTTTAATACTTTTTTGTTTAGATGACCCAGATTTGTTGAACCTCACTGTGCGCCCTATCGCGTCGACGCTGGCATTAGGACACGATCCTCAGCTATTTGGCCGTTTGCCTTTGGAACCTGCACCGTGCGGTCTACTTAATGGACCACGCTGAGCTCATTCTCAGTGAGCAAGAAGCAAAGGCCCAGTTTTGTGGGGTCAGTCGAAATATCCAACATGGTCATTGGGTTCCCTGTTGTGCATTTTTGGAAACAAGTGGTAAGTGGTTGTTTGAATCTGGAAACCCTGAAGGAAGTTTGTGAATGCCTAGGGCTGCGCCTGATAGCCTGGCAGAACTTGGCCCATGAGTGCAGCGTGAACAATCTAAAGCTGTTTAGGCTTCGCCCGAAGCATCACCAGCTGGACCACCTTCGTGAACAAATCTCACGAACAAGATTGAATGGACGGAAGGTCATGTCCTGCTTTAGCGACGAAAGCTTTTTGGGGTACCTAAAGCGAATTGGTGTCCGATGCCATGCTGCTAGCATGGCAGGACGCCTTTTCCAAAGGTATGTTCTGTTCTTGAGCTTGCGCTGGCGAGACGCCAGATAACACGCCCTGGCGGTGAGCGAAAAATCCAGGCCTCCTCTCAGGCCATTGCTCGAGCTGCGGTTGAACATGTGTATGGAACACACGTGCAGTGTTCTTGTCAAGAACATGTTTCACATGTCTGTGCAGAGTGTTTGTCAAACATATTTTCCAAAAAAAAGTGCGTGAGTCGTGAGCTCACCTTTTGTCCAGAGGTGTGGTGTGTTTTTTCCACACCTGTATGAATGCAACCCCTCCTCTCGGGTTCGCGTCGGTTTTGGAAACCGGTCTGAGTGTTCTCGGCTCTTGTTTTAACCCCCCGTTGTTGCACAACGAACAGCTAGTTCCAAAAAAACATAAATACATAGGAGTGTTTTAGCGAGTGTCCTATAGAGAGTGGTACCGCCAGGCCACTTTGCCAGGCAGTGTGTGCCAAGCTAGCAGCACCCTATATACAAAGCAGGTGTGCCAAGCTACTTACTGCAGTGTCTGAATGTGAGTGAGTTGGTCTCGACATGTGTCGGGCCACTGGCAGCGGAGCTATAGCTTCTACAGACAAAGCGTCTAAAACAAGAATTGTCTTTCTTGACGCAAAGTTCTGAAAACAAAGTACGCCATTGCGACGTAGAGCTGAATGAAAGGCGTCGTTGGAGAACACACGTGCTTCGTTCGCAGCAGGTTGCTGGACACGTTTCAATGTATCGCGTTTTCAACACACACAAGATCTATCTAGGAGTGATCCCCACAGATGTCTATGATGCGCCGTGTGTGTGTGCCCCACAGAACAGCTGAACAAAAGATGTCGTTGTGGAAAGAGTACCTGTCGTGTTGTGGCCACACATGTCGTCTTCTGTACGGCGGTGCCGAACATAGCGCAACGCATTCCGTTTCAAGCAATCTGAATTCACCAAAAGTGTGCAAGGGTACCTCCCACACACAAAGGCACACACCTAAAATGACTAGAAGGTGTCAGCCATCCGAGAGCTTATATCACCAACGAAAGCGTTTTTGTTAAACAGCTCTCGTATGTAGGATGTGATGTCCTTTGCGCATCTTTGGATCCTCTCGGTGGTGCCGGGGGCCCTCGACACCCTGACCCAGCGGCTGAAGTCGCTGGAAGCGCAATCGACAGGCCTTGCATGGACATCCTCACAGAGAATGGAATTATTGCCCCCAGACGGGGCCAGCCTCTCCTCAAGGCAAGAGCTCACGATTGCGGCATCGGAGCACCGCGCGGAAGTGAAGGCCCATCAGGCAGGGGCCTGGAAGGAGTGGAACAAAGGAAAGGGAGGAAAAGCAGAAAAGGACGATGGCGCGAAGGGAAAAGGAAAGAAAGGAAAGACGAAGCCGAAGAAGGATTAGAGGAGAGAGGACGCTTGAGGAGCCACAGCAATGCAACAGAGATCAGGACGGGGTGGGAGTGCCCTGTGGATCGTATTTTACATCTGGAGCAGCGTGTAACCCCAGAGGCTCAGGCTTGTGATACAGACAGTAGGGAAATCGGGGGTTGAGCCCTGCTCTGGTCCTCACAAAGAATGACGAGGCATTGGGCGCCCAGATGAAGCGGCAGACCGATGACCTAGCTTGAGAAACCTCTCCAGGACATCGCACTACGATCGGGGTTGGAAACCCTGTGGAGGCAGGCTCGGAGGACGTGACATTCCCTCCACTGCCACCGGACAATTTCTCCTTGGCGGAGGCTATCAGCAATCAGCCGACAGATACTTTTGATGGCTGTGCAAGTGGCCTGAACGCCCCGGGGCAAAGCCCTGCTCGACTCGCCCAGTCGGGAAAAGGACTGTGTGGCAAGAGGCTTTGGGAGATGGGGGGAGATCTGGTAGAGGTTTTCCGAGGGGTTTCATCGCTCTGCAGCCAGTCCACGGCGAAAGGAGGGAGACCGGGCAATTTGGGACCCAAGTGCACCTTCCCTTTGCCGACCCGTCGGAACCAGATCGCTCATGTCCTCAAAGCCGAAGAATCGTGGGTCGTTGAGTGGGTCTTTGCTGCATGCTTAGGTTTGAATTCGAGGTTGCCAAGCCGCATCACTGCAGGATGGGGGACCCGACTTGGAGCCGCAGACGGTGTCAGAGGCGCACACCCGCATCCTCCAGTCTATCGCTCGAGACGTGACTCGGCTCGGGGGAATTGAGGAGGTGACTCAGGATTTTGAATGGACATCTTTTTTCAGGACAAGGACCATAGACTATAAGGGAGACGAGGTCAGGACAGCGCAACAGTTTACCTGGAAGAATATCAAACCTGCGATACCCCGTGAGATCGGAGTGGTGGACTTGAAGGATATATGTGAACAGGGTTGCAAGCATTACATTGAGCACTTCCCAGATTTCCTCAAGCCACCCCATGAATGGGGTCAGGTGCGTAAAGCAAAGGTCATGGTAACAGACAGAGACTGGCCAGAGGTGGCCGCAGGGCTGTTGGAAGCACGGAGGTTTTTCGAGTCAATGACAAGATGTTGCTAAACGGCCTTTTTGGCGTGGAGAAAAACGAAGAGGTTGGAGGCATTCCGGTTTACCGCCTTATTATGAATTTAGTGCCACTCAATGCACTGTGCCAAGGGCTTCACGGGGACATCTCAACCCTGCCGCATTGGTTTGGAATGACCCCCTTCCATATCGAACCCCATGAATCCCTGGTGGTGTCAAGCGAGGACCTACGGTGTTTCTTTTACACCCTGCGACTGCCTAGCTGCTGGTACCCCTACTTGTGCTTCAACAAAGCTCTGCCAGATGGCCTGGTGCCCGCGGAGTTTCGGGGCCAACCCTGTTATCCCTGCTCAAAGGTGCTGCCCATGGGATTTGTGAACAGCGTGGGCATTGCGCAACATGTGCATAGGGTCTTAGCACTCAGGTCTCAAGCACACAACCACGCACGCAACAGTCAATCTCTCGAGATACGCAAGGACCGCATCCTACCCGAAGGAAAGGCAGTATGGCGGGTCTACCTCGACAACTATGACCTCCTGGAGAAATACCCCCACGAAGTCCTGGGAGACATCCAAGAAGAGGTTGCCCGGAGGTGAAGGCACTGAGGCAGGAGTACCAGGAGTGGGGCCTTCCAAGGCATCCAGGAAAAGCGGCAAGTAGGAAGTCGCTTGCGGAGGTACAAGGTGCAGTATTGGACGGCGAGAGAGGCATTGCATATCCCAAGGGGCAGAAGCTTTCGAAATACATCACAATCGCCTACCAGCTGATGAGTGAGACACACTGCTCCCAGCGACAGATGCAGGTGGTATGTGGAGGCCTGGTGTATTTCTCAACCTTTCGTCGACAACTTCTCGGAGGGCTGAACCTCTGCTGGGCTTTTATTGAATCATTCAACACGTGTGGTCGGCACCGTCAACTCATCCCCCAAGGAGTCAAGTTGGAGATCATCCGCTTCCTGTGCCTTGTACCCCTGTGTCGAATGGATTTCCGCCTCGACCTCAACCCAAAAGTCACTTGCAGTGATGCCTCCCAGCACGGAGGCGGGGTGTGTGTGAGTACGAGCCTCACCACCTACGGGGAGAAGGTGGCCCTGGGAGAGGAGTGTCGAGGGATGGTGAGCAGCGGGGGTCAGCGGGTCCTTAGT